CCCTGAATGTTGCTCCCTGAGACGACGAGTCATTCGAACAGTGGTGGGTCTGACGCCAAATATTTTGTCGCATATCCTCAGGGTTTTCCACTATCTGTTATTCATCCAGCACCACTTCAACAGGATCTTGACTAATTACAGGAAACGGGGTCCATTTTTGAATTTTGCATGTCAATTGCATTTATCATTTAAGGTTGCCCCTGTCCTTGTTCAAATTAGTCTCGCACGACCGATTAGCAACTGCGGGGGAATTTTCAAAAAACAGTTATGAGTTTGGTTAATGGCATTTTCATTTTTTCTTTGCTTCAGTATGTGTGCAACTTTTTTTAAATTGTTGCTTGTCATGCAAGCTCACTCCCTATTGTGTGCGTGCATGCCTTCCTTTCTTGCTGTCCTTCGTCTTCGCGCACCTTTTTGTCTCCCTACCAGCCCTTCGTCCAATCCCATCCTGGTTCGTTGGTGTGATTGATTGGTAGACAGTTGAGATGGTCGGATCAAGCCGTAAGAGCAAGCTTGCGCGAGCGATTTCAACAAGCACCCCAAGGGAACGTAAACTTCAACATTTTCGCCTTGTTACCTTTTAGAATCTTCTTCCTTCTCTCCTCCTCGTCTAAGCCCCTCGCTACCCACATTACACACTGGTACCCCGCCGCCTTCCGTGCTATAAATTTATGCAGCCCCTTCCTCTCATCCTCTTTGATCTCAGTTGCAATGATGCGTGAGTCATACGCTAAGACCGTGGGACCGAACAGGCTCGACGTGCCCAAGGAATGGGTGGAGTGACGGCGTGGGGTGGAATTGGTGGTAGACTCAGGGGTGAGCCAGTCAGAGGGACTGAGCGGTGGTGGAGACGGGAACGGAGCCAGCAGCAGGGCCTCGTGGCTATGGTTGGCTTGCATTCGGTTGGGTTGGTGATTGTACACTCGGAGTGTCAGCATTTTTGTAATCTGGAATAGCGAGGGGCTCATCCATCAATACTTTGTCCATTGGTTGTCTGCGCTAAAACTAAGTATGGATACTTAGTTATGTACATGGCTCTGATCGCGAGTGCCTATGGATGTTGAATGCTTTGTTGTTAGGAAGTCTATGGACGTATGGATGTAAAAAGACTCGGGCGCACATGGTTGCGGTTCTTTATGTCATTGAGTCCTCTGGGATACAGATGGCTAGTAGGAAATGATCCGTGTGGTCCAGAAAGTGAGCCATGAAAACAAAAGGTGGTAGGAATCGAATATTTTTGTTAAAAACATATGAAAAAAATAGTCTTCAAAAACATCATCAAAGGTTTTGCAAGCTTGACATTTATGACCTAGAAAACAAGCACACCAGTTTTAGATCTTACAACCTTTATGAATCGAGGTTTTCCGACTCGCTCTGACCTGAAATTTTTAATGGCGGGTATGCGAGCAGAAGAGTCGACCTCGTTTCCAATACGACGCGACAACATGTCGCCTTTTATTTTCAAATACATCAAAGCGGTCAAAATTGTCATCTTCGCTTTCCTTCCATGCCCATTTCCACTTCCGTGTTTTTTTGTTTGTTCTCGTAGCATATAAAAACTGCGATGAGAAATCGACGACATTTACACCGTCATATAAAAATGATTGTATACTTCTCGAGATGGCTACACCCGAATGAGTGGTCAACATTTCTCTACCTTACCAATAATGCCCGCCGTACGTGAAGCATTAGTAGTTGTCGTGAACAATTGTCCTGGAGTATTGAATAAATTTGTCTGTGGTATATTTATCTTATTTGTTTTTCTTGCCATCTTGTACGCCATATTTTTAATTTGCAGAACAAAAAACAACATCATGTTTATAATGGCTATGTAAAGACGATGAGCATGTGAATGCGGTGATCAAATGCAAAGGGGATGAAGAAGAATAATAAAAGCAACATAGAAGGTTTTCATGGTATTGTTTCGGTTAGAAGGGATCCGATTTCACTGCATCAGATTCCTTAGGTTGGAATAATTAAATATCAGATTTTATTCCTTGTGATTGCTTATGAATGAATTTTTTTGGAATAGATTGTTGTGGGTTGGGCAAGGTTGGATTGGGTTGAATTAGGTTGGGTTGGGTTGGGCTGAATTGGATAGGGATGGATTAAAATAGATTGGGATTGGTGGATTGGATTAGATTGGGATGTGTGTTTTTTATAGGATTTGGATGAATGAATTTGGTTGGATTGGAATGAATTGGAATGGATTGGAATGGACTGGGATGCATTGCATTGGTTGTTGTTAGATTGGGCCAGATTGGGATGAATTGGGTGAGACTTTACTGGCTTTAGTTGGATTGGACAGGATAACATCATCATAATGAATCAGGTTTAATTGAAATACATTGGAATTTGATTAAATACGATTTGCATCGGATTCGATTGGAATTGCATTCCATTGGGTTGGATTAGATTGAGATTATACTAGATTTGGTTGAATTGTATCAACTTTGTCTTCATCAGGTTTAACTTGATCGCTTTTTATTGGATTCGGTTGGATTTGCATCGAGAATAAAATTAGATCGGGATTAGATTTGGATTGAATTACATTGGATTAGATTTAATGGTATATAAATATTTCGATGAATCAGATTGGATACTGATTGATGAATTGCATTGATGAGATTTACGTATAGATTAAATTTGGATCTGGATTGGATTTGCATAAGATTAAATTGGATTGAATTACACTAGTTTGGATTGAATACAAATGGATTGGATGAATGAGATTGTGCACAGATCGATTGATTGCATTGATGGGTAAAAAATCATAGAAGTAATAGATAGATGGGTGAATGAATGGATGAATGCGAGAGATTGGTCAAAAAAATATAGATGGATAGATGGGGTGGGTGAGAATGTCATAGCATATCACGATCAGTATCCATTTATGTGTATGTGTATGCATGTGTGTGTTTGTGTGTGTATGTGTGCATGTATGTTTGTGTGAGTGTATGTGTTTGTGTATGTGTATGTGTGTACATACACACACACACACACATTCACGCGCAAACAAACAAGCGTTCTGCGGCTGCAATGTATTATCATGCCAGTGTTGAAAAACAAAATTTCCAAAGTAGAAATAATGTATGCATGTGTGTCTGTGAATGTGTAGTGAGGGTGTACATATGCATCAATGTGCTTTGTGTGTGTGTTTTTGTACAACACAACTAACTTGGAAAGGTAGGGAGAGAAGTAAAGAAAGCAGGAGGAAAGAACGGGAGAGGCTGAGAGATTAGTAGTAGAATTAGAAAAAAATGGTTAGAGAATGTAGGGGAGAGAAAAAAAGTGCTTAAAAAAATAAAAATAGAAAAAACTATTCAAATGCCAAAAGTCGGCGACGATGGGTGATAGAAAGTGACAAAATTTAATTAAGCTTGCGCTGCTAAACAAAATAAAATTGGATGATTGGACATAACGTCAATTTTCGAGAAAAAATGAAAGAGTGGGTTAGTGAAGGAGAGATGATATCAAACTCTTGGTTGACCAATAACATATAGTATTACAAAGATCCAATGTGTTAACAGATTGTTGTTGCAGCAATGGAAAATCATAATTATAACAATATCTAGGTGGGTTGATATCTTGATCAAACACATAGATCCCCCTAGCCATAACGTTTTAAAAAACTCTCAGCAAGCTGCCGCGTGGCACTGCAAATGACCTCGGGCATAGGTAGCAGCGGCCACGACGTCGGGGGGGTGGGGAAGGCAAACAACAGCCCACCCGTCACTGTCATCTCACTCGCTGCTCGCCGCTCGCTGACCAGGGGGGAGGGGGGTAAATAGCTAGCATGACACCCTTCAACATCAACGTGCCATACTATAAACTCATACTAAGAGTTTAGCCAGTGTAGCCGACCTACCAGGTGTGGTGCTCCGCTAGTGAAAGAGACGGAGATGAAGGAAGAAGGGAGAGCAAAATGGCACAACGCAGCTCCCCACGCAAGACTCCAACGCACGTACTCCAAAATGTGCAAGTGAGGAATGAGACTGAAAACAGACAATGGCTGGGGTATACCCCAGCAGACTGACGGGACTGGACTGGACTGGCTGGTACAGACAGAGGTACTGGCCTGGACTGGCCTACCCCGAATATAACACAGGCCTGTGAGAACAGGCCAAGGGGCTGGTCTCACAGGCCAACCCGAGGTCCGCTACACGATCCTCGGCCTGTGATGGATCGCTAGATACAAACATGCTTCCGCCAAGAAGCGGAACTCTACCAAAGAAAAGAAAACCTGAGTAGTCTAGGGTGCGGAGCAAGCTCCGTGCTGAGTCCATGCGATGCAACCTAGGATATAAAATGTCACAAAACAGCAATGTCACAGCTAACAGCCTAAGTGAAAGTAGAAGCAACTAACTAACATACATGTCCTAGGAAAACAAAAACAACTAACTAGCATACATGTCCTAGGAAAGTAGAAAGTAGTGACAACTAGATCCTAGAATGTTGGAGGCACTAGCCTCAGTCTGGTAACAACTGACTAGTGTATAAGTCCTAAGAACGGCAAAAGCAAAACAACTAAATCCTAGAAATGTCAGAGGCAGTAGCCTAAGTCTGAGAGCATCAAAGCAATCAACAAGACAGCCATATGTCACATGAGAAGTGTGTCGCAAACCAAAGGGTGGGATGGTCTCTGAGGGTGGCGAATGCAGCCTAGGGGTTGAAAACTCCTAAGGGCATCCACACATAGATAACAGGAAGACACATGTCATCAGGCTCAATGAGGGTAGGGAACTGGGAGCGAACAGAACCAATGACCCTAACAGATAGACCATCAGGGCGGGTAAAGCTCGGCTAAGGGGTGACCGCTATGGAGGGTCGACCATGCACGGGAACAAGGGAGCCTGGTATACAGGGCGCACCTAGATGAAGCATGCGGGGCTGCCTAACTAGGGCGTGAGGGCCGGCAGAGGGTAGGAAGGTGATGGGTAAGGGAATCATGCAGATGACTCCTAAGGTGGGGAAGTCGGAGCTAGATCCGTAAGATGGGAAGCCAGGGCAACGCTACGGTCCCAATGCCTATGCGTATACCAAGAGAGAACCCAACTCAGAGGAACCCGGCTAAAGGGAGACCATCATGCGACACAAGCAGGGTACTGTACAGGGTAGAGTGGTAAGAGAGTGGCGACGTCTGAAGTAGGCAGAGTTGATCGTGATGAAGTCCATGAAGCTGCCGATGACGTCCACGATGAGAAGTTCGAAATGCCGTCGAGGAAGAGTCGTAACGTCGACGAGCTAAAGTAGATGGAGTACTGAGAAGTCAAGGACGTGGGAAGGTAAGTCAGAGTCAATCGTCGTATCGAGCAGGACGACGACGAGTGTGCTGTGGACGCTCAGAAGCATTCGGCTGCTGCTGAAGGTCTGCCTCAGATGGAGCAGGCTCGACTTCAGCGGTCTCCTCAACCGGGGGAGAAGGAGGAGGGTCAGCGGGCTGAGGAGGAGCAGTGAACCCAGCACGACGAGCACGGTCATAGGCACGCACCAACATGCGAGCGTGCTGCAAGTGCTCGAGGGGCTCCCAGGTAGCCTCCTCATCAGGGTAACCCTTCCAACGTACGAGATACTCGACGTGGRGAGSVTTRTCRTCGGTGACTCGGCGACCAATGATGTCTGAAACGAGGAACTCCTCGTGGCCGTCCACCATGAGGGGTGGAGGGCGCTCGTATGGTCGTCCAGTGAAACGCTCAGACGGTCTGCGATAAGGACGCAGTAACTAGACGTGGTAGACATCATGCACACGAGCCTGGCGTAGGTAGTCGGGCAGCTTCACATGAAAGATGACCGGGCTAGATGCCATATCAGAACCGACGGCCTGGAGGATGCGGCATGGGCCAAAGAAGCGACGCCGAAACTTGCGAAGCGTGTCCGCTTCGAGCTGTAACTGGCGGGCGTCGATAAGCACATCATCACCGACTTTGAATGGATGGTCCATCCTCGATCGGTTCGCACGTGCTGCCATGCGAGTCTGGGAAGCGACTATGTGCTCATGTGCAGTCTTCATGATCGACGTCATGTGTGCAACCCAATCATCCAGCGCGGGACAACTCGTGTCGGGGTGTATCTGTGACGGTCGAAGAAAGTCCGCGGGAACACGAGGGTGATAGCCGAGGTCGCAATAGTAAGGCGACATCCCCGTGGCTGGCGAGACGGCGTGGTTGTAGGCTATCTCCGC